TCTCACCCGTTGGGGTGTGTGTGAGTGTGTGTGTGAGTGTGTGTGTGAGTGTGTGTCTCACCCGTTGGGGTGTGTGTGTGTGACTCACCCGTTGGGGTGTGTGTGTGTGTGTGTCTCACCCGTTGGGGTGTGTGTGAGTGTGTGTCTCACCCGTTGGAGTGTGTGTTAACATGTTGGTAGAACTCCTGCATGCAGTCCCATCTCTCTGACGGGTTCTCGGGATCTGTTGCTTTGTCTAGAACATTACAAAATCACACCACATTTTTACATCACACACACACACACACACACACACACACACACATCTACTTCTTACTCTCCATCATGTCACTCTAACAGACATACACTGTGTGAAACACACACACACACACACACACACTCATTTTATCTGTTTACATAATATCAGTGTAGCATGTGATTAAAATTTGATATCTGTTGTGTGTGTGTGTGTGTGTGTGTGTGTGTGTGGGTGTCTCATAAGAGGAATTGACAGCTGTCTAAGAACACGTGACCACAGGCACTTTGCTTCCTGTTTTTACCCTTCAATATTCTAATGTTATATTTATTTAATATTGATTTGTTCAGACATGGTTATAATTCCTGTAAACTCAGCTCAGTGTGTGTGTGTGTGTGTGTGTGTGTGTGTGTGTGTTAGTCCAGTCTAAGCGCTTCATCACTCTCAGCTTTCCGGTTTTTTACTCCGCAGCTGACTTTATGATGATTATAATTATATATATATTTAATACTGCACATAAACAGCTCGCGCGCCAAACAAACATTTACCAGCCTGATGTAAAGAGATTTAAAATAAAAACTTACTGAGACACGCGAGCAGAAAGTCAGCGCTCTGCTCTTCCTCCGCCATGTCCGCTCCGGGCTGTGTGTGTGCGTGTGTACTGAGAGGATTTATTATTAAAACTAAAATTAAACCGCTATAAAAAAAAAAAGTAAACTTATATACAATCGTGTGTGTGTGTGTGTGTGCGTTTGCGCGCGCCGAGCTCAGCATGTGACCAAGCGCATGAGACGCGCTAACCGCTCCGCGCAGGCCCCGCCCCCTAAACTACAACTCAACAAGGCAGACACAACACACTTTATCACACACACACACACACACACACACAAACAAGAGTCTGACATTGTTTACACATCAAACACATTTTTATTTTGTACAAGACAAAGAAAAATGCAGCTCAGTCAGAACAGTCCTAAAAGAGTTTCCAAAATCACTGAGTCTGCCAGGGTTCTCGAGCTCTCCGAAACAGGCAGGGTTCTAGAGCTCTCCGAAACAGGCAGGGTTCTCGAGCTCTCCGAAACAGGCAGGGTTCTCGAGCTCTCCGAAACAGGCAGGGTTCTAGAGTTACTCTTCTAAAATCCTCTGTAGACGACAACAAACCTCATCCTCACCGAGAGAGACCATGATCTCACCCACACTGGGACCCTGCTGTAGAGAGACACACACCCTGAACACACACACCCTGAACACACACACCCTGAACACACACACCATGTTCACACACACCATGTTCACACACTTACCTGCCAGGTTTTTGTTGTTGTTGTTTGTTTTTATGTATATATATATTTTACTCTTCCTGTTTATGATGTTTGTAATGTTTAAATGTGTGTGTATGTGTTATTTGTGTACATTTTGGTGTAATCTACCTGCAATATTTGCTTTGGCAACAATGTGATTAATAACATTCATGCCAATAAAGCACTGATGAACTGAACTGAACTGAGAGAGAGAGAGAGAGAGAGAGAGAGAGAGAGAGAGAGAGAGAGAGAGAGAGAGAGAGAGAGAGAGAGAGAGAGAGAGAGAGAGAGAGAGAGAGAGAGAGAGAGAGAGAGAGAGAGAGAGAGAGAGAGAGAGAGAGAGAGAGAGAGAGAGAGAGAGAGAGAGAGAGAGAGAGAGAGAGAGAGAGAGAGAGAGAGA